AATTTTTGTTGAGTGTCTTCATATAAGTAATTTTATTAAAGACTTATAGACTCAACTGCTCAAGATAAATGACCCATAACGGTAACTCTGTTACCGTGCAAGTGAAGAAGTTAAGTCCTTGGGAGGTTGCTGACTTGCCATGGTTGATTCATGACAAGGTCATATGTGAAACTTAAATCAAATTGGAATGAGAAGTTTTTGTTGTTGTTTTCTGTTAACCACATTGGTAAAGAGAGAGGAGACAGTCAGTGTCTGGTTAGGCAGACAGAGAGGGAGGGTCTCAAGCAGACCTAACACCTGCGGCTACAGCCCCTGCACCACTTCCACTAAATAATTGCTGACTGAAAATGTGGTTAGGGTAATTAAGAACATCATTTCAACCCAGAATGTTTGCTGCTTAAAATCAGACGCAGTAGCTTAACTAAATGTCCTAACTTGACCTTGGCTTATTATAATATCATTAACATAGCATTAGCATTGGGGTTTTACCCCCCGAGTGGGCTTTTCTGTGGTACTTACGAGTAATATTCAAGATGGAGTAACTTTGGTCAAGGACCCGCATGTGCAATAAGATTCGGGTCTCAGGAATTAAGGGGTGGATGAGATATAAATGAGAGGACGCCCCCAGAAAAGATAAGATAAAAACCACACACAAAGAAAACTCCTAACACCAGGTTACCTATTTCAGGCCCCCTCTCTTCTCTCTGGAGAGCTTTGATGCTTAATAAACTCTTTCTTTCAGTCATCCTTTTGGTGTCTGCATTCCTTAATCTTCTTGGTTGTGGGACAAAAAGCCAAGGTTGCTAGTTTAAGCTGACAGTGGAGTTCAAAACTCCTGCAATGGTAATGTCATTTACTCACTTTTGGAAATCAAGGTAAATCCTAAAACATGGAAGTGTGTTCAGATTATATTTTTTAGAGTTCAAAACCTGATTAACTTAAACAGAAAACTAAGTGAAATATAATGAGGAAACAGATGTAGCAGTAATTTACATCACAGTTATTAGAAAAATAAGAGGCTGTTGGACTTTCATATGAGACAAATACTGGGGACTTACACTGAAGACTAGAGAGAAAGGTAAATCAGGAATACAAGACAGTAGTTCAGGGGATACAAAGGTGATATGGATTCATTGCCTAGAAATGAGTCATGTGAAAGAATGTTGCAACAATATAAATTCCTCTTTAGTTATCAGTTCAATTTTCTAACTATTGCAACATAACAACAGTTATGTGGGTATGAAACTAACTTAATACCTTGAGTGAAGGAATCTTTAAAAAAGATGACTCTGAGATTTAAAAAAACAAAAACTTGACTTTTTGTTTTTAATCGTGCATTATCATTTGCTTCATCTTCCTGGGTTCAAAAATATATCTTTTTGCTCCTTAATAGAAAGGATATGTCTATATAAGAGATGCCATTGTGAAGTAAACTTTGTATGTTTTTAACTCAAATTTTTTAAATTGAAGATTCTTTTTCTGAAAAAATTGTTATTTTAAAGGCATACATTTATTCCAGCAAACTTGCTGTTGGAAGAATAATTTGTAAAAACTTCCAGAGTTTTTCAGCTAGCTTGAGCTTTGTACTTCTTTAATGGGAGAAAATTATATTACCCTATTTGATAATAATTTAAAATAATTAACTGCAAATGGCTTTTGGTAGCAGAAAATTAGACTTACTCTCAAAGGTCAAAGAGTTTGCTTGCACTGAGGAAATTAACAATCACATGCATAGTAAGGTTCTTCCCAGCTCTGGTCTTCCCTGGACCGCTTTCTGCATGGTTGCCAAGCAACCATTCTCGAGCCTGCCAGGGCCCCACCTTGCCCTGAGTGCTTCCTTTATCAACCTTGGTCTATACAGTGACAACCACAATTTCCCTCTCTTATAAATACATTGCTCTTTGTTAAACAGGGCCTTCAGGACACAATTAAAAGCCAAACAACAAAAGAGGAACTCCACTTTTATGTAATTATTTATGTTTACATATTACATATAGCACGTAAGTTTTAAGTTTTAGAAATGTTCAGTTAGAGCCTCATCTACTCTACTGGTTTTCCTAAAAACAAAACAAATCATTGAAAAGACAAAAGTGAATAACACTAATTCTGAGAACCATTCCTGATGCCAAACCAGTCACATTCTGAATCACAGAATGCCTTTTGATGAAAGGACCCTGGAAATGTTAGGTGTGGTTGGGCAGATGGAGCACTTAGCTGCTGAGGGCCCATTTTCATGGGCTGCATAGAGTGTGGCCTGAGCAGAAAGTACAGCTATCCTGATAGCTGAGTCTTGCCCAGCCCCTGCTTTGGATAGAACCAGAATTACTGAGGATTGTTAGTGCCCCCGTCATGATACAGACTATTTGCCCACACATCGCTTGTGTCTTATTGCTAGTTTTGTTTTCACATAAAATAGTCTTATTTTCTTAATTATCAGTTTCATTTTTGAAATAAAGAACATACATATCTCATTTGTATACACCCATGGGTGCTTGCCAGAACATTGTTAAATGACTTATGAATTTGTAGAAATACTTTCATATTCAAATAATAAGACTCTTGGAAATTTATTTGTACTTGTCCACCAATTCCAACATGAATATTACCTTGAAAAATTATATTGTATATTGCTTTTTATGTACTTAAGTGTAATTTGTCTTTCTACATCAAGTGAAATAAATGATTAATTTTCTTCATGTGTAAATTCCATCAAACAGTACAAGAGGATTTAAGAAGACTAAAAACTATGAAACTTCAAATTTCAGATTTCAAATTTGGCCCAAATTTCCTTAATTATTTTGTTAAATATGAATCAGTTTTATAAAAACATTCTTATGATGAAAAAATGTTAAGTGCTTTACTCTGGATTTAATGAGTATACTAAAGGATGCATAATTCACTGCTCTCATATATATGGTATGAATACCATTTATTTTATTTTATTTTATTTTATTTTATTTTATTTTATTTTATTTTATTTTATTTTATTTTATTTTATTTTATTTTATTTTA